AATATCCACTTCCTTGAAATAACACTAAGAACCCTTCAAAACCACCTCCAAGTTCAAGAATACACCCACCAAGGGGATTCGGGTTCAAAATGAGGCTCTAAGATCAGTGGAGGCTGAGAAATGATAGAACATTGACCATATAATGGTGTTTAAATAGTGCCTAATCCCCAAAAATTAGGGTTTGGAACTCTGCTCATTACGATGGGCGTACACCAGCTTACACTGGGCGTACCAACCCAGGCACCGCGTAATCCATCATTGGATGCATGGGACCAATTTGCCAAGTTTTTTCATTAGGGGCCAAATCCTTTCTTCCCCAAGGTCCTAAGCCTCTTGACAACTGATGATTCGGCCGCAGCCCCAAAGAATGAAGCAATCAGAAACCGAGTGTTACAGCAATATCCCAACATATTTTTTGATTCTTGATATCTCCTCGAAAATTCTTACATCATATTAGACTGTTTCATGGTTATTCAACTTCAGTCAAAGCTCTATTTATCTTTAAGCTCTCTTACAATTAGTTTCTCTGTACCAGTCCTAAAGCTTAATTTGTTACATTCAAATCCCTTCGAAACTCTTATTTAACGTCGAGTTTTCTTGTATAGAGGTATCCAAAGATCGTTTGGGAACTTCACTAGGAACTTGTAGGACAAAAATTCATCAAGAACTAGGTACTTGTTAAAGTACAACCACATCATTAATGTTATATTGGTGTTTTTTACATTGACTATCATTGACTGAATTCGATGTTCAATGAAAATCATCTTTTTCTTAAAGTTTGTCTCATATGGAATCATAATTTTCTCTAGGCATTAAAGAATTGACACTACTTCCAAATAAGCAGTAAAAAAAGTAATCTTTGAGTCCATGAAAGCTTGGTTGTTATGCTAGCAATTGAAGCATTCTGTATGTTCATCCATATGTAAACGGATAAGCAGTGATATTTCAACCGGACTCGGCGAGTAGACCCTGTCTGGACAAAAACCCTAATATGAGGGTTTGCACCCTATTTAAACACTTTAACCCGGCCTCCTTCGTCCCATTTACTCCCAGAGGACCCCCATAGCAAACCCTAGCCGTTGTTGAAGCAAGCTACAACATTTGAAGTGAGTTTGGTGTTTTGTGATCCAAGGATGGAAGAGAAGCTTGAAGGAACAAGAAAGTACCTTGTTCTTCCAAAAGCTAGATCCCATTTTGTGTAGTTTTAGGGATTTATGAGCCATTTTAGCTAGCCAACCATGAATGCAAGCATGGTTTGGGACGAGGGTATGGATCTAGGACCCTTGAGGGGTCACAAAGCAGAAAGGGGGTGCTCTTCCACCCAAGAAAGGCTCCATGAAACTCAAGGGCTTGTTTTAGGACCTTTTGAGCTTAAAGTCCTATGCAAGCACATAAAGATTGTAACTTTACGTGCTAGAACGGTCCTAGGAGCATAGATCTATCCTGTAATCAAGAGTTGTACATCAGAAATCGAAGATCTAGTGAGAATATGCGACAAACTCGGCGAGTCCAATATTGAGTCCCAAATCAATTGAGGGTCAAAAGGACCTAGTTGAGTGTGGAAAGGTTTTAGGGAGTCCCGGGGAGTGACCCAATGTTCTGGACTAAGCCATTGTTCGGGATATTCATGGGACTCGGCGAGTGTATGAGCAGACTCGGCGAGTCCAAGTCAATCTTCATATGGATGAAGATGAACTCGACGAGTTGTTCATACAACTCGGCAACTCAAGGACAGGACATGTTTATCAGTTGAAGATGAACTCGACGAGTTGTTCATACAATTCGGCGAGTCGGATGAAGATTCAGTCGATGTTCATTTGGAAGGAAAACTCATCGAGTCGTCGCCTAACTCGACGAGTAGAGATGGGTATAAGGACAAATGGAAGAATAGGGACTCGGCGAGTCAGGTCAACTGGTAGTTGACTTTGACTTTGACTTGGTCGGGGGTAAGATGGTCATTTTACCCCAAGGACAGTTAGCAAGGTTTGATTGAATGTTTTCTGGGAATTATAGTCAGAGGATTTCCAAAGCAGGAACAATAGATAGTTCGTTCCCACGCAGATCAACATCTACTTCGAGGTGAGTTACCTTCCAGTAGCGGTGGGTCTATGGCCACAATGCCAACCCATTAGTAGGATTTGTATGATTAGATGAGTGTCTATGTGATATTCATCTAGGTTTGCTACTATCTGATATGTCTACGTGCTAGTATGATATGATGCTATGTACTAGTGATAGTAGGGGAGATAGTCCTCCGTATCCGGTCGAGAGGATCGAAGGGGAGACCAGCACCCAGATATGCTAATTGGTATCCGGTCGAGAGGACCGAAGGGGGAGACCAGCACCCAGATATGCTAGTCAACATCCGATCGAGAGGACCGAAGGGGTAGGTCAGGCACCTAGATATGCCTGACAATATATGTATGCTATGTAGTTGTATGGTATGTGGTACGATGGGGGGAACTCACTAAGCTTCGTGCTTACAGTTTTCAGTTTTGGTTTCAGTTACCTCTTCATCGAAGGGGAAGGAGCTGGCGCGGTAGCGGCACATCATACACATACATTGTTCTTCGCTTTACGAACTTGTTCTGGGATTTGTACTTTGATATTTGGTTGTTTTCATATTTTGTATTCAGACACGATATATGTTATGAAATGGCTTGATCAGACAATGTTTTATTTACAAATGCATTCCAAAGTATTGATTTAAAAACGAAATTTTTGGATGTGAAATTGGGTTGTTACATACCTTCTGCTATAAGTTTATATTTTATTGGTAAAATTTTCTCTGGATTTAAAGATTCTTACGACAGAGATAAAGATGCACGACGGATTTAGAGTCGCTGGAAAGGGTTTGAGCGGTAGGTATTATGGGATGACAAAATTGTGAGAATAGTACCTGTGGTATGTCAAAACTAGTAAGTTTGGTCCAAAAAAGTTTGGGATCGCAAGGATGGTACAATAGTTTCGTTTTGTTGTGAGTTTGGTCTAGTTTGGTTTGAACTTTTTTGTATTGATGGTTTTTCCCCTTATTATTTTATTTTCCATTATTGTTATATTACAATAATTAAAAACTATTAAAAATAAAATACCTCTCTCTCTCTCTCTCTCTCTCTCTCTCTCTTACTTCACCGGAAAAGGAAAGAGAGTCGAAAACACTCTTGTCGACTGTCTAACCCCACTTTCTCCTTCTTTCTTCAACAAGTGCAGCCTCAAAGACCTTGATTCCATCTTCTTCTTCATCGAATTCACACATGTATCTCCATATTTCCTTTTTCTTCGGGTGAATCATGAGCTTTTTTTGGTTCATAAATGAACTCTCTCTCACACACACACACTAATCGATTTTTAAAAACAAAAACTGTCCTTTTCCCCTTGTAGGCTGATCGACTCAGAGCTTTTGTTCTCCTCAATTGAGTGGTGACTACGACATTGGGGGTTCAGATTTGTTGTTCGTCGGTGTTGCGGGAAAGAAACCCTAACCAACTAGGTAGTGGCGGTGAAACCCTAATCCTAGCTAGGGTTTGTTGTGGCTCTGGCGACCTCGAGCTTTATCTCTAGCATTCTCCGACAACTGTGAGATCAACTGCGAAACCCTAATTCGAGCAGGGATGAAATGCAAGATTTTCGTTGAAAATGACCACCACTGTAGTTCATCTTCGTAGACATGAATTTGTGTAGTTCATCTTCGATCGTGTTCATCTTTGAAACCCTAATCCGATGGTGGTTTGGGTAGGACATGAATTCGAGTTTAAGGGAGGTAGAGGATTACCTTTCGATCGATTTTATGCTAAAACAGAGGTGGTTGACGGCGGCGGCATTTGTATGTTCCGTTTGCGGCTATTTTTGTCGCGATTTGAAAGAGCTGGACAAGAGAGGTGTTTGTGGTGGTGTAGGGCAGTAGGTGGCGGCAGGAAGGGGCTGGAAACGACAACGAAAAAGGCGGTGGCAAAAGGTGTTTTCTGGTTGCTTTTTCTCGACAGTTTGAGCTTCTGCCAGAGGTTTTTTGGTCTCGATTGGCAGCAACAGTGAACAACAAGGCAGTAGGTTGTTTGCGGCTGTAATTATCGAAGAAAATGGGAGGAAGAGGGGTTGGACAATCAACAAGAGTGCTGCTGGCTCTCTTTCCTTTTCCAGGGAAGTAATAACGAGAGAGAGAGAGAGAGAGAGAGAGAGAGAGAGAGAGAGAGGTATTTTATTTTTAATAGTTTCTTAATTGTTGTAATAAAACAAAAATGAAAAATAAAATAATAAGGGGAAAAACCATCAATACAAAAAAGTTCAAACCAAATTAAACCGAACTCGCAACAAAACCAAATTATTGGGCCATCCTTGCGAGCTCAATTTTTTTGAACAAAACTTGCTAGTTTTGACATACCATAAGGATCATTATGCAATTTTGTCTCATGGGGTTTTGTGGTTGTTATATTATCGGATTACAATTGTTTAGTAATTAAAATTTAAAAGACTACTAATCTGTTAATATTTTTCAAAAGTGCAAATCACAAATTCTATCCAAAATAGTCAAGAGTTAAAAGAAAAGAAAAAATGATAACTATGCAGAAAACATAAGACGACTAATTTTTAGACTTGCCAACCATAAGATCTTCTTGGTCATCTTGCAAAATTTTCATCATTCCTTTCAACTCTATGGGTGTGTTTGGCAAAAGTAGCTGTTAGCTGGAAGCGGGTAGCGGTTAGCTGGTAGCTGGTAGCTGTAACTTTTATTTGTTATATGAATGTTTGGTAAAAAGAGCTGGAAGCTTTTGAAATATATAAAATTACATAAAAGGACAATTGATTAAAAATAAAAAAAGTATATAAATATATTTTCAAGGGTAATTATGGAAATTGATTTCAAAAGCTCCGGAGCGTTTTGTTAAAAGCTACATGAAGTAGCTTTTAGAATCGGAGCGTTATGATAAAACTAAAAGCTAAACGCTCGTACTGCCAAACAAAGCTTTTTGTTTAAACTAGAGCGTTTTGTCAAAAACTAAAAGCTAGAAGCTCCTAAACGCTTCCAAAAGCTCTGTGCCAAACGCTTTCAAACACGATGCCTGGAAAATATGAATCGTTAGTAAGTTGAATTTTGAGTTTCGTTAACAGAAACAAGGATATATAATTTACACAAAACTGAAAGATGTATTCTATTAAGACATGTTCACACACATGTATATTAAAAAAAAAAAAAAAAAAAAAAAAAAAAAATCGGTCCCTAGAATCCACTATTTCATATTGGATGCTACCAACAAAAGCAATTTAAGGTGAACAATGGAAGACAAAATCATGAACCAAGTCGATTAAGCTATGGTTATACTATATCAGGAAGATATGAATGCTATCGATAATGTTGTCACAAGAGTGGATATTTCACAACAATGGTTTATCCTTATTACAATCAAATAAAGGCCATAGATTGTTAAAAGTTTTTTAGCAAAGCATGATTAAAAAAAATACAAAATCCGAGTGTAATTATTATTAATTAATTTAAATTTGTAAAACATACTATTTGCTGAGCGTCCTTAATACCATCCCAAGCAAACATGAGTCGATCTAGATCGAAAATTTGGTTGTTTAGCATGTCACGTTGTCCTTCGTACCTGACAAGAATGAGTATAGTTTGTCAACTAATAACTGCGTAAATAATATTTATGAAAGTAGTTTGTATGAAATGAAAAGCTATGAAGGAATTTTAAAATTGTAAATATTCAAAAACCCAAAATGACATGGTGTTCTCAAATTTTTCTAATTATTATTTTCTAGATATGTGTTCAAATGAAAATTCAATCCTCAAGTGCCTCAATTTGCAACAGAGATAACACTTGCTAAAGATGAAATAACATACGATCTTTTCTCCTTGATAAGTCTCTTTTTCCGAAATTCCATAACTTGTTGAGCTACACCAGGACCCCTTTTTTTTATTTGGTTATTACATCGAGCAACTTCTTCCTTAAAGTGCTTGATTGTCTTATTCGCTGTCTTAACTCGTTTATTGATCTAAATAAGCAATAAAAAGTAATCAGATTAGTTAGAACAGAAGATTGTATATGATCAAGATAGATATTAAGAATTATTCAAAAATAAGATTCACAGCGACAACCACTTAATCAGCAGGGAAAGTAATACAGCCTCAAACAGCTCCAATATAAATAATCTATTAAATTCAAATTTAAATGATCATATATTAGTTTCAAAGAATTGCTTTTCTAACTAACAATCCATGATGGTTTCTTGATGAGTTTTAAGGAGAAACAATACAACTATTTCTTGCATCTCCCATGCATGCTTTTGGTCTCATGAAACACCCCTTAGTCTATTCCAATTACCTAATTCTTTCAGATTTCATTATGCGTTTAACCAATATATATAATCCAAATAGGCAAATACTATGATTAGAAACGAATATAAAATTTCCCCAAAATCATATTGGTTTATGTTATGCTATAACCCATCAGATGTTCTTTGACTTCCAAATTGAAGTATTGGTCGGTGATTGAAACAAAATTTTGGTACGATGAAACTATAAAACAAACCATTGAAATGATTAATTGTAACAATAAAAAACCAGATTAAAAATATTCCATCTCGATGTAAAAAGAAGTTTTATCGAATTTTTGTTATTAATTTATATATTAGAAAATACAATTTGCAGATAGAGAGAAAAAAATATATACCCGTTCCCTTACACCCAACATTGTCTTCATATCTCGTTTACTTGAAACTTCTTGCTGTTATCACAAATCAAACATAGTCAACCACAGTATAAATAATCGACAAAGGAGTAGAAAATGGTAAGAAATTTAATTAAGATATAAAGAACTTGACAGATGTTTGTATAACATCACTAAGAACATAACATAACAAGTAGTCGTAAGGTAGAACATTACGTAGATTAAAATTTTAACAAATTGCCCTTACACAAAATAATACAAAAGAAAGCGAGATAGTCATGAAATTCAAACATGCACATGCTACAAATTTCGACTACCAGATGCTCTAATGTTCAAGTATATCCTCGTGCACATATTGTGTGACTTTCAACGATGGCAATAATCATGAATGGAAAAGCATTACGCTGTTCATACAGAATAAACGAGAAAAAATAAAAGCAGAAAAGCAATGTCATAAATTGAACGAGGAAGAAAAAAATAAAACCTGAATCGGGCGACGCTGCAAGTCCAATGCTTCAAGAAAATCGTCTGATGATGAAGGATTAATAGCCTATCCTTCCAAATCACTCCCGTGCTTTCATCCGACATTTTTAAAATCTTGTTATATTGTGATAAAGTTATATCTTAAATTCATAATGATATTCTAAATTAAGGTTTTAATCGGTTTTTGGGATTATTTATTTAATGGGAAAAGTGAATACTATACAAGATAGGTACCCTAATACTTAAAACTACGTAGTTTTGATTAGTAGGTTAATTTGCTAATAAAAAAAATACGTAATTTCCTTAAACCTTAATCGTGATCGCATTCATTCGAATCATTCCATCATCAAGAAATCGGAAGTATCTTAATACGAATTGAAGATACTGGAATCGAAATTCAAGGAATTCACAAAGAATCGAAATCAAGAAACTGCAATTCACAAAGAATATATATATATATATATATTTGAAGACGTATGCTAAAACCAGTTGCAATTAGTATGAATCGAAATTAAAGTTTTTTTAGAATTTAATATTCGAGATTATTGTTTACAATGTTCTTTATTATCTGATGAATCTTTATTTATTTCGGGATTTTAAAAATGACATTATTGTTTTTAGACATTGTCATTGGCTGTTATCGTGTCTTTTTTATGTATACTGTTTGCATTATATTCAATATAAAACAATTTGGTGTTAATCTTTTATTTGAAAATATGCATCGTTGTCTATTGCAGACCATAATGAGTGAAGCCGAAGCAACTAATCAAGCTATAGAATCGTATATAACCGAAGATATTGACACAAATGATTACGTGGAAGCAACATATGAATCTCAAAAAATAAATAATATCGGTATGAACGTTGAATTTGACGAAGATGAAGTTAACGATGAAAGTATACTGGGAAAGGTTTTTGATACACCTGATGATGCCTATACATTTTATAATGATTATTCATTTTACATGGATTTGGTATACGTAGAGATGACACAATTAAAAATCCTAAAACAAATGAGCCATTTCGAAAGATATATGTATCCAACAAAGAAGGTTTCAAAAGGATGGACAAAAAAGATTCAAGTGAAAATGAGAAAAAACGTCGCAGAGATATTAGAACCGGATGTCAAGCAAAGCTACGAATAACAAGACAGGAGGATCGAAAATGGTTGGTGGACTCGTTTAATGACACACACAACCACGACTTGACCATGACACCTACGAAGGTGATGAAGCATCGATCTCATAGCAGTTTCCACCGTTCAATAGAAGGTAAATCTCTTATGGTGCAATTTGGTCAAGCAGGGTTGAAACCTTCTCAGATTAAAAAGGCTGTTAATACAATGAAAACCTCAAATGTAGCTGATGTTACTTCAAAGCAATGTGCCGATGTCTTATCTGAGCAACGAAAACAACATAAAGGAAAGGAGTTCTATGGACTTATAAAACATTTTCAAGATAAAACATTAGTTGATAGTGACCAGTATTTTGTTGTGGATTTGTCTGATGATAGGTATCCTAGAAATATCTTTTGGGCTGATGCTAGATCAAGAGATGCTTATACAAAATTCAGAGATGTTGTTGTGTTTGATGTCACCTATATGACTAACAAGTTCAAGATGCCTTTTGCTCCATTTACTGGTGTGAATCATCATGGGCAGTCTATACTTTTTGGTGGAGCATTGCTTGAAAATGAAAACGAAGAGTCATTTGAATGGTTATTTGAACATTTCCTCAAATGTATGTTTAACAAGTATCCGAAAGCAATTATAACAGATCAAGACAAAGCAATGGGAAATGCAATAAAAAAGTGTTTCCGAAGACTCGACATCGTTTTTGTTCATGGCATATCATGAAGCATGAAACTGAGCACCTTCGATCGTATGTTTCCCGTTACAGTGATTTTCAAGAAACACACAAACAATGGGTAAATAGTGACACCATTGAACAATTTGAAGCAACATGGGAAGTTATGCGTAATAAGTATGAACTGGAAAACAATAGTTGGATTAGAGACATGTATAACCAACGTATACATTGGGTTAAACCCTTCTTGAAGGATACTTTCTTTGCTGGTATGACAACAACCGGACGAAGTGAGAGTATCAACTCATTTTTTGATGGATATGTTAATTCGAGGACCATGTTAAATGAATTTGTTGTACAATACGACAAAGCAGTTGAGTCTCGAAGGGCTGCCGAAGAAGATGAAGATTTAAGACTATGAACTCAAGGCCGGTTCTTTCTTCAGTGCATCCAATTGAAGCAAAAGCAGGTCAATGTTATACTAGAAAGATGTTTGATACTTTCAAAAAAGAATGGACTGAAGCTATTACCAATTTGACTCATGAGACTATAGGAAAAACTACAGAAGAAAGCACATACCGAGTTGGGCAATTGGATGTTGATAAAAAATATTGGCGCATTGTTACCTTTCGTTCTTTGGATCAAGTTAGCATCACATGTTCTTGTGCTAAGTATGAGACAAATGGGATTTTATGCAAACATAGCCTATTCGTGATGAAGAAGAAACATGTTAAAGCACTATATTTTACCCCGATGGACCCTTAGTGTTAGGTACAAACTAGGTAGTGCTAGTATCGGACTCGGAGAAATGAATAATGAAAATGGAGTTAGCACCTACACACTATGGTGTGTCCGTTCAAATTTTACTAAACTAATTGAACAAGCAAGAGACCTCCCTTTAGAGATACAAAAAGTCAATACAATATTGATAAGTCTTTTAGATGATCAAACAAATCGAAAGAAATCTACGTCATTAGAGAATACATCTCAAGGTTCTTGTACGGGAGTTTCGCAAATAGATATGATGCCACAGTTATCTGTCCGTGATCCTCTTGGTCCATCTACTATAAAAGGGCATCCTAAAGTTGCTAGTAGAATCAGGTCTTCTTTCGAAGCTCCCAAAAAATGTACATGCTCTTACTGTCAAGGATTGGGTCATTACGCTACTAGTTGTTCCAAACTAAAGGTACTTTTAATTAATTTAATTTTCATGATTTAGAATTCTAATAATTATATTAACAATATTTTTTTTACATGTATCAGACAGATGAATCGTTGGAAGAGACATAATGATAAGATGTGTTGTTTTTGTAAGCAAAGGAAAATTCGATATGCGTCTTGCCATTTTTGACATTTTTTTTTTGGTTAACAATGTATGAATAATCTGGAAATGTTTTATGCTTCTTAACATTTTTTTATAGTTTTCAAATAAAAATTGTTGATTATTTATGATTTTTGTGTTTAAATTGAATGTTAGTTGTTATTATGTCTTACAAATGAAAGTAGGATGTTATTTTGGGTTAAAAACGAAAATATGATGCAAATGTGGGTTAAAAACAAAAATATGATGCTATTGTGGGTTAAAAACAAAACTATGATGTTGTTGTGGGTGAAAAACGAAATTAGGATGCTATTGTGGGTTAAAAGCAAAATTATGATGCTATGTGGGTGAAAAACAAAATTATGATGCTATTGTCGGTGAAAAATGAAAATATAATTCTATTGAGGGTCAAAAATGAAATTATGATGCTATGGTGGGTTAACAGCGAAATTATTTTGCAAATGTGGGTCAACTTCTTTGGTGTCTCCGTGCAACCCAAGATCTTTCAATGGTAATCACCTGCAAAAGACATAAATATCCTTGTAATCTTTTCAATAGAAAAGGGAAATTGAAAACATGTTGAAGCTCATGTAATTTCATACAGCAGCAACAACAAATGACATTCAATAATAATTTACCAATAGTAATTTCATTTCACTTTTATGTTTTCCAGGATTGCCCTCACTGAATGCAATATGAAAAGAACACCAGGAAGTCAACTAAGGCAAAAATTGAGCAACAAATGCAAATAAATGAAACAGGTCAAATTCATAACATTTCGTCTTGGGATGAGCAAGGCTTACAAAACTGGACCAGATCAATTCCGTCCTCCTTTAAAAGAAGGTAAATAGAGTTTTCATTCGCCTCTTTGGTTATTTTTGACATTCTATATTTAAGCATTTCACTTCTTTTTCTATTAAGTAAAAAAGAAAATGAACCTAACCTAGGAATAAGAGTTGTGTAGTTTTATTTATGTGAAAACAAAGCTGCTTGTATTATAAATAATAAATAATAAAGTGTGATTTATGTTTTTGGCAGTAGGTTTCTTGAATGAAATGCACGAGTCCAAGCTCTACGAGCGTATGGACGCATCCAAACTGGAAATTCATGTTTGGAAACAAACAAACATTATCAGATACATCATTCATTGCACACAATTGACACAAAAGTTCACTTAGGCATTTAATCGAACACCTGGTGGACATGCTGCATAAGCTATAATTTCTAGTGAAAATGAGTTGCCTGTAGTGATGTTGATTCGACATTGCCCATTTCAAGGAAGACGGCATACAATGAAGTTCCTGTGGAACAAAAGCGAATGGGAAATTGAAGATTTTTAAGAGGAGGTGTTCGTGAAACTGAAAGAGACAAAGACATAGGGACTAACCTGAATCGACTTCATGGGTGGGGCTGGGTTGTAGAACGTTGCATTGGATCGATGTGCCAAGAATTCCAATTTAGTGATATAGGTTTTGTTCTTCGGTAAATTTCCTTCCCTGAATTGAATTTCGATTTCAGTGAAATCGTTTCTTTTTGGTGAATTAACCATCCCGTCGTCTTCATTGAACGTGTGTGGTGAATGAATCGGCTTTGTCTGATGCAGCTTTACGGTGAAGAGAGAAAAGGGAGGAGGAAAAACGGGTGGATGGTGGTGGCAGATGGGAACGCCGATCGGTAATGGGTTGTGCAAAATTAAGGGCTTTAACAATTTATCAAACAAAAAAAATTTCACAACTCTGGTAATTTTCTTTCACGGTAATAAGTAAACATAAACGACGACGTTTTAAGTATTAGGGTACTTGTATACCCTCAAGGGTATATTCACTTTTTCCTTATTTAATATGCTTATTAATTTATCATGTAGTTTTAATGTAGTTTTAAGTGTGTGAATATAGAAAATAATCAAAAAGGTTTATTATCTTAATGACTTAGGAGTCCAAAAAAGTTTCAAAACAGTACAAAAAACCTCAATATTATTTTATCTGTTTGAAAAAACCAAATAAACTTAATATTTTGTCTAAAAGAAGCCCAACGAAGTTTCTAAACCGTTTAAAAAATCTCAATCATGTTTTGTCTGTGCAAAAGGTTAAAGTTCGTTGAGTTTTTTTGAACAGATAAGCCATGATTGATGTTTTTTGAATTGTTTAGAAACTTCGTTGGTCCAATATGGTAATAAGTCACGTCATTTGTTTCTTTTTCTTTGACTTTTATAGAATTGAACAAAAGTGCAATTTAGTTGAGCTCTTTTAGACAAAAAGTTATGTTTGTTGGGTTTTTTTAATAGACAAAACATGATTTAGATTTTTTGAACGGTTTTGAATCTTCGTTGGACTCGTAAGTCATTTTCTCTTATATTAAATAATGAATTGTTGTTAAGTTCTTTATTTTGTATATTTGAAACTAGACTGCGCGTTGTTTAGACTAAATGATACTAAGTTATAACTCGTGGACACCAAAGATGATAAAATTAAATAAAAAAAATTATTTAAATTATAGCTTAATTATTGAGCAACGATAATAGAAAATCTAATAAGTAATAAATATATATGTTTGTCAATAATTTCATAATGATATAATGATTGGTTGAAATTACAAAAATATAATGGTTTAAATATTCGATTGGCAATTTGTATTTGTAGATATGCTATAAAGTTATCATTTCGTAGAACACAATATAAATTTAAATAAAATTGAAATTGAAATTGATATAAATAATAAAACTGTACAATTTTTTATAAACTTCTAAAAATTTCTTTATATACAACATTGGATGTTTTATTTGGTAGTCTATCATATTTAACACCAAAAATGAAATATTAAGGCTAGGACCCAACACAATAATTGACAATTCAGTAAAGGGATGTCGTAATCCAATTGACGATTTACCAATTCCAGCACGAAAACAAAATTTAAAATGAATTAGGTTTTAAATGAAATTCCTAAATATTTTGAGATTCATTGAACTATTCAATGGCATGTTTAATCTCTATTATGCCCTTTCTATTAGTGACCAGGATGCCGATGATCACAAACAAGGTGTGAATAACCATTCAAATTAGCTTGGTACTCTCGATGTCACTTACCACCTAATTAATGTGTTGGTTAACGACACACGTTCCATTCATCTATGATAATTTATGAGCTACCCATTGCCACCCTTTATAAGTCCATACTAGTGTGTCAGTTAACCACACATCCTTTACTAACGACTTTTGTAAAGTGCGATGTGCAAATACAATGATTAGCATCAAATTCATATTTTCCTAAAGTAACTAAGATTGAGAATTTTTTTATAAAACATTTAGTTACTTTATATTTTTGTTATACTTATTAATGAAAATTTAATGTCCTATCCTACCCATTTGGTTAACGATCCTCCACAAGTCAAGGGTGCGGTGGGTAAGAATGGATACCCAATGGTGGTCATTTTATAGGACGCTTCCTTAAACACCCCTTATAGACCAGCTTCGTGAATGAGGCCTACTAATGGTGAGACTGACCTTTTCTTATATATATATATATATATATATATATATATATATATATATATATATATATATATATATATATATATTAGACTTTTAATTTTATATATAGTATAAGGGTGTATTTTAAACATTTAAAATCCTAGGGTTCTAAAATTTAAAATTTCAGAATTAAACTATTTACTTCAATTTTAAATTATAAAACCAAAAGGATGTATTTTAAAACTTTTCAAAAATACTAGGTTAAATGCTTTTTAATAATTAAATTAATAAATTAATTTTGTCTTTATCAAAAATTTTAACCTAATCATGGATCCATTATAATGTTATAAGATTAAAGGTTGAATTTACCAATTTTATGTTGGATTAATGTCTAAGTCAGTAACCATATTTGGTATATACTTGTCCCGAGTGTGCATGGTCCTTTTGGGTTGCCTTCACCAAAGCAACTTGATAAGGTAATTTGATATGAGAGAGGAGATATTATGATTTATTAATATATTATAAGAATAATATATTAAAGGAGAAATCATATTTATTTGATCAGTATTAGTCATAAATTAATTAGGAATTAATTTGGTGACTAAAAGAGACAAATTAAATAAAGGGGTATAAACTGTCAATTGTGTGATAGTTGAGTTTTGGGCTAGGAAACCTAATGGACTAAGGGGGAACGAAATTATGATGAAGGATCATCATATTTTCGTCCAAGGCCTCATTCCAGAAGGTTCCTTGGGCTGCTTGGTGGCTAAGCTGTCCATTAGGGTTTTGACTGAAACCCTAGCACCCTATAGTATAAATACATGCCCTATGCTTCAATTTAAGGCCACTTGATTCCAAGGGAACCCTAGGGCCGAAATTAGCATCATTCCCTTCTCTCTCTTAGTTGCCTTCTTGCTTCAAGGTGTTTGTGAGCCATTAGAGGCACTACAATTGTGGTGCTTGCTTTCAAGAGTTCAAGAGAGTTCAAGAGATCAAGGAAACTAGTTGTTATTGCTATATAACAACAAAGGTATGTTTTCTACACTTCTATGTAAATTTCGAAAATTATAGAAGCATGCCAGGGTTTATTTTGTGTTCATATAGTTGTATGTCTTATAGTGAAAACATAGATCCAAACTAGGGTTGTATGCACACATAGGATTGTTTGTATAAAACCTAACAGTGGTATCAGAGCCATTGGTTTTTTGTTTTCAATTGGATTTGATGCATATTATGAACTTGACAAATTAGGGTTTATGGCAAGTAAACCCTAAGGCTTGGTGATTTTCGCAAATTAGGGTTGCCAAACCCTAGTTGGCGATTTTTTGATAGGGTTCTTGAAACCTTTTTGCCTAGCCTCCAAATTTCGAAATTAGGGTTATGAAACCCTAGGGATTTCGAAAATCCCTTGTCCCCAAGATAAGATCCCAAGATTTTAGGGATATGGATAATACTATCTTTGTGATTATCAATTTAATTGTTTAAACTAGATAATTGAAGAT